TTGATGAGCCCCCTGCGGTTGAATTACTTCAGAGTGATTCTCAGCAAGGGCGTGGTTCTGTCTTTTTGCCCACCTTCTCAAAGACTTTCAATGATCCTTTCATGCCGTTCAAAACTTGGCTAAGGAAAAGAGACTGCTTAATTGCCTGGTGCTTAAAAATGAAACAGAGAACCTTCACTTGCTTCACAATCACTCATTTCACAAACCTTAAGATACTGTTCTTTATACATGACAATGCCTTTAATAATAATTTTCCATTACAAGCTTTAGAGTTTTTAAAATTAGAGTGGGTATATTTCTCCCCAGTGAGAAATATTCTTGCCAACATGAAAGAGTAAGAAAAAAAAATACATTCATGAAGTTCTGGTAGAAATAAAGCTGACTGTAGAAAATTTACTTTAGAAGATACGTGTATTTTAGCTATAAGATACATCACTGTACCCGTAATTGCCAAAGGGGGAAAAGCAGTTTGATTCTACTTAAGCTTTTACAGTCTTGTAGCACCAATCATGTCTCAGTCCCAAATCATGCCTACTCGCAAATATATCCTATTAATTTAGAACGCACATGCAAGGGCTGCATGCTTAATCAGAATTACATATTGCTTCACATTAGATGTTGTATCTGTGACTTCATACAGTCATATTCAGTAAGCCATTTTATTTTTAAAGTATTAACTTTCCTGCATAGCCATCTGCTTTGAGTCCGCTCAACACTGGATTAAAAATGAGAAGAACCATCTTCCATATGGATGCATCAATAATTTGTACATCTGCAGGCATGTCCTGTCTCGCACTGCATGATATGTAGGCATAACAGTATACGTAAAGAAAGGTAAAAATAGCAATAGCACTTAGACTCATATACCACTTCCCAGCCCTCTCTAAGTGGCTTACAGAGTCAGCATATTGCCCCCAACAATCTGGCTCTTCATTTTACTGACCTTGGAAGGCTGAGTCAACTTTTAGCCTGGTAAGATTTGAACTGCCAAACTGCTGGCAATCGGCAGTCAGCAGAATTAGCCTGAAATACTGCACTCTAATCACTGCACCATGTAAGAATAATACTTATGTTTCCAATGAAAGATCTGTTCATTTTAATGGCATGTCAGTATAGTTCATTAGGTTTTTGCAACACTGGAATCCAATTCCCAGTTTATTGTAGTATACCACTGCTTCAAAAATAGCCTGTCCATTTTACTGCCTTCATTCCAGCTAGCATTTTCTTGTTTTGTGAATTTCAGATCTGAGCATCTGTATCATTTCCCCATCATTTTACAGGTTCTATATAAAGAAAAGCAAGGACACAGTTCGGCTTGCCCTTGGAAGTTGTGGGAGCACCATCACTTGAGACTTTCAAGAAGAGATTGGATTGCCATTTGTCAGAAATGGTGTAGGGTCTCCTGCTTGAGCGGGGGGCGGGGGTTGGACTAGATGGCCTACAAGGTTCCTTCCAACTCTGATTATCTGTATCTGTATCTAGGTTTCAGAGAATCTAAAACAAAGAAACCAGTCTCTGCAGTTTTTGTGCAATGCAATATATGACTCAGAGGCCCATGCTTTAAAAGCTTTATAGATGTAAAGATGAGTGTAGGGACATCAACTGATGGCTATTACAAGCAGTCAAAGGGATGCAGAATCTTTTCTAATTGGTTGTCTCTCTGACAGAGTTTACTGGTAGGACTTCAGTCTTTGAAAAAAAAGATGACAGACAAGTGATCCCAGGATACAGAAATCAATTTAAGTACAGCAAGAAGAATGATCAATTGATCATAATTTGTCACAAATTGTAGCCTTGTAGAGTGCTCCTACAATTCTATACCAAACCAATGTCAGAACATTGTATCTTGAGTCTTATGAATAGCAGATGCCTTTTGTGGAACCTTGTAAAGAGAGAGAAAAGGTTGCTTTCTTTTTGTCTGCAAGTAAAAAATCTGTGGGAGGAAAAGGTCCAAATTGGATGGATGGACGGAGCATTGCAATGCAAGTCCAACTCCTTCTGTACATGCATTGACTATGTAAAGGCAGGGTTTGCTTTGTGATGTTCCATGCCCATCTTGCAGATTTTGACCTCAACCCCCATCCCACCTGGATGCCATTGGTTAAAAGGCATTTTGAAATCTTTACCAGGACAAGAGTCAAGAGTGAAGATTTAAACTGCTATGATGAAACTTCCCAAAACTTCTAGACTTAATCACACACACACACACACACACACACACACACACACACACACACACACACTGTTTATATAGAGTGAAAATGTCTAGATTAATGTCTATATTAAAACATCACACTATTACATGTTTCGTTGATGCTGATTTACAGTGATCTTACAAAGCTATCATTATTATGTGATGTATGGCTTTGCGTTATGTAGAAACTCAGCCATTGTGGCTTATTCAATAAAGCAAAAGTAAAACAAACCATTGTCAAGTGTTGGATATGGGCTCAGTTATTATATGGATGAAATGGACTCCATATGCATCACACAGCAAGAAATATACAAGAAATACACAGTGTTTCTCAGTCACTGATAGTAAATTCAAATTGGAAGTTGAATTGTGCTGCCACTCAAAAGAAAATTGGGGAAAAAAATGCTTCAGGAAAAAAAACATGATAGCATCTGTAATGGTTAAATCTATACAATTTAATAGGAAAGCCAAATCCTAAAGTCAAGCTCTAATCATGTTTTCTATTTTAAGATTGCAATCTAAATATTTACTAGTGTCCTCATTGACATTTTGCATTACTGCACAAGCAGATTTTATAAAGTATACTACCCTTATAGTTAAAATCCTAAGGGATAAAAGTATCACATGTTCAGGAGATTATAGCAATTTGGATTCTGGTTATCAGAACTTTGTAAGGTAATTCCCAGGACAGAGAAATATCCAGATGAATTTGTACTTTTAATCATAGATTAGATTTGGATTACATGCCGTAATCAAGGATTATCTTGAGCAAGTTTTCCTCCAAGAAAACCTGAAAAGCTATGAGGAAAGATGCTGGCAAATTAACTAGCCTTATCCACAATATCAGCTAGGATTCATACCACGTCCTGGAAGAGAGTAAAGGAGAAAAGTATTTAACCTTCAATCGCATACTCGATGCTGTTTTTATATCCTGTTAAGAGTACTACACATCCTATCAACCATGATGATTTAAAATTGGTTTTTCAAAAATTTCCAATTGGAAATTGGGTGGGTTTTTTTTGGTTTACTTTAATAATGAATGGTACTGTATATTCTGTAAAATAATCAATAAGTGCACACATAATTAGGGAGGGGTATTTTATTACAATATCTGAAAGTCTGTTGAGCCTCTGGTTTTTTTGGGTATGGTGCCTTAAAGAAGTTTCTTATTTTTCTATTATCTTTTTTTTTTTTAAATATGAAGCTAAAGATAAGATAAAACACACAAGCACCTCTAAAATATATGGGAAAAGCTTTTGAAACCCTTATAAGGATTAATATGGTGGGCAAAGATTATTAATGATACTTTGGAAAATAGATGACAGATTCAACTGTGAGATGTGAGGACGTAATACTTTGCAAACCAATTTGGAACAATATTAAAATCCAACTACTTTTCAAGTTACCCTAACTATTACTTTTCCCAACCTGAGCGATAATATACAGAGAGGGAATCAATTTCAGAATTCACAGTCGCGTCATATTTATTTCAGTTTTTCAGAGGTTTCAAATCCCAGGATCCTGTCGGGTGATCAGTTTGCTAAAATCAGGATGTATAAGTTTGATAAATGTATGGAGTGGGTTTAAATTCTACAGTGGAAAAAGCAGGGGTATATATGTAGTAAAGACAATCAGAGCTAACACAGTTTATTGCACAATGACTCTTGAAAATGTGCTTAATTGTATAGCTGATTCTCTCAAGATCCATGAAAATCAACAAGAATGGCCTACATACAAATCCTGGAAAATGAAAATTTGCTTAGCCATTCTGTTCACCTATGAGAGGTGTGTGTGTGTGTGTGTGTATGTGTACGTATGTGTGTGTAGTTTCCTTTAGCCTCCAGATTCATCAGTAGAAATATGTCTTTTTGCCTTAAATTCAGACTCATTGTAAATATTAGTGGTACAGTGGTGGGATTCAAATATTTTTACCACCGGTTTGGTGGGCGTGGCTTGGTGGATGTGCTTTGCACGTGTGCACACACTTTGCGTGTGCGCGTGTGCCAAATGCACACTTTGTGCAGGTGCAGAGGCATTCTAACTCACCTCCTGTAAGCCTGCACGATCCCAGTTGCTTCAGCAGCTGCTGCGCGGCATTCTTCTGTGCCGTGCAAAGCAACTGCACTTCAAATTCAGAGGATAAAGGTGAGTAGGGGAGCCCAGGGCCCAACAGCAGAGCGGTGGAGAGAACCAGTTCGGTCTCTGCTGCTCATTGCTGCTACCGGCTCAGGAGAACCGGGCCGAACTGGTAGAATACCACCACTGCAGTGGTATTCATACTTATTTTTACTCTGAAGTTATTTGGATTCCTTTTGACCTGGGAGACTGATTTGTCAAGATCATCTTGGTTCAGGTTTTTTTTTTGAAGGATAATACTGAAATAGGTTGCTATTTCCTTCTTCAGTGGATTGTACTTAATATGACCCTCTTTTAGGATCTCTTTACAAGGCAATGGTTCATTAATGCTCCTACTACAGCATGTAGTAACCATCAGTAACCATTCTGGTAAAATAGATAAACAATTGAGTCCTCCTGATTCTTGGTGCTTCTTGATGGCCACTATAGGTTAATGAGAGTCAGTCTGATGGAGGTATCAGGCTAGAAAATAGGAGACTGAATTCTAGCCTTAGGACCAAAGTTTGGTGCATAACCTCGGGTCAATTATTTTCTTTCAGCCCCAGGAAAATGGCAATGGCAAATCACTTCTGAAAACCCTTGCCAAGAAAACCGCAGGGACTTGTCCAGGCAACATCTGAGAATCAGACACGATCGAATGGAAGAAAAAAAAATGTTAATAGTCTCTTACCGCTATTTCTCCACTGCAGTTTTGGTAATGACAAATCCCACTGATGCTGTTTGGAATCAAAACATCTTCCCAGCAAGATGGATCCTTTGAAACAGAGAAATGGAAGATAAAATCAAAACTCAAGGGTAAGAAAATAGTTTCTTTTAGAATGTGCTGAAAAGGCAGAAAGAATATAAAAGGACAAACCAGATGCTTTACAAAAGTAAAAAAAAAGAAAGAAAATGTATAGTAGGGATAAACAGGCTGATTTGTATCTGTCTGATCAGCAGAAAGTATATTCAATCAGCAGTGCATTCAAGGTTTTCTATTGTTCTTCAATTATTATTTTTTTCATTGTTATGTATTATAACATATATGTCAACTCTGAATAGAACCTGGCTGAAACCATCTTGTGCTGCTTCATAGTTGCCACAGACTGTGGTGGTGGGTGTGGATGAGGAGGAAATAGCTAGACTGTCTTGTAGACAAAACAAGAGCTCTCCTGTGGGAACCAAGGTCATCCCAACAGGTGGCAGTAGAAAAAGGAGCAGAAGTGGTTGAGGGAACCCGCCACCTGCCTCAATTGGACAATGTGACCCGTGACACCTGGGGAGGGAAACTTTTGCTCTTTTAATTACATGGTAACCACGGGAAACTCTTAGTTTCACATATCAGCTGTGCTGATATGATGTGTCCAATAAACATGTTCTCTGAGGAACATTCCTGCCTTGCGGTTCTGATTTCTTTGGATGCGATACTCAGAATGCTGAGAATATAGACTCTTCTCCCAGATATGCTTTCTTGTATGCAATTTGGACCTCAGATATATTGTAAAACTAATGCTATCTCATGAATTATATTCTCATCTATAATACAATGGATTTCCCACTTGTGTCTCACATCTTATTTCCTGAAAATATATTTGTCATGAATTTCTTCAACAGATAATTGAAGATAATTAGATAATTGCAAATACAATGAATGTAGAACATACCGCAAAGTGTACATTAAATGTATTACACACATAAACAAAGCAACAGAAATGTAAAATGAAAACATGTTTGTGTCAAGATAGCTCCTATGGTTATACATCATATTCACTGGTGCAGCACATGTCATTATCATATACTTAAGTCGGTGGTAAAAGATAACAACTGGCTTTTGATTCTTTTCCAAGCACAATCCAAGTCCTAGATTTGACCTTAGATGCTAAATGCCCAATTCTGAATCTATCTATCTATCTATCTATCTATCTATCTATCTATCTATCTATCTATCTTCTTAAGTTTTCGCGGGTACTTATATGTATGGTATTCAGCTTTGTTCGGGTATTTTCCCATGTCATTATAGTTGTGCTTTTAAAGTTGTAGCAACATTTCGGCAGAATCTCATCTGCCATCATCAGGCTTCTATGTTGTGTTCGTCTGTGTTCGTCAGACAAACACAACACAGAAGCCTGATGATGGCAGATGAGATTCTGCTGAAACGTTGCTACAACTTTAAAAGCATAACTATAATGACATGGGAAAATACCCGAACAAAGCTGAATACCATATAGATAGATAGATAGATAGATAGATAGATAGATAGATAGATAGATAGATAGATA